TCAAAAATATCTTCATTTGTGTTCCGAAGATGAACGAAGGTCTTGAGGAACGACCCGAGGGTGAGTAATTAATGACAGAATTTTCATTTTTGGGTGAACTATCCCTTTAAATAGTAAATATATTTGAAATACAATTAAGTATTTTGTTTTCACCAGGTGAGGGCAAATGTATACACACTGTACAGACACATTTTGTGATGATCCGAATAGAGAGTAGCACTAAATAAAATGTGTTCCCTTTTCCAACTTCTGACAGATTTTCTTGGCATTCTGATCCATCCCTTGTGGTCCTTTGCCTTCATGAAAAACTTTTTGCACTCACACAATGCCTGAGCATTGAAAGCACAGGTGAGCAGATACAGAAGGGTCATGGTCCAGGTGGAATGGTTCATATTAGTTAATGAGTTAAGCAGATAACATGATTTTCTTTTGCATAAGTCAATAAATGATAAGTGAAACAGTCATTTGTATGGACTGAAGTACATGTGGCAAGCCGCCGGTTGGTCATAGACATCCATCACAGGACAGCAGGAGTTCTTTATTGGGAATCCCAATGTTTTCAGTAAATACAGTTAAAGCATTTACTGAAAATACAGACTTTGGGAACCTTTGAGAACTGTTGAGAACGTAGCTGCATTAAACCTGTAGTAAAACAAGCAGACTCGTGCTCACCTCTAGTATCACTCACACGTTTTATTCTAAGAAATGTGACATGAGCACAGAGACCCACTGTGACCTTCAATCTTTTTAAAACTCATTTCTGCTTCTTTTAGTCCTTCTCTGATATATGTAATTCATCATTTTGTTTACAGTTTAAAAGTGTGTCAAAGTGATACCTTTTCCTGCTGTTGTGACTGCTGTCTAAATCAGTTACAGTCAAGGTGAGTCTAATGGGGTCATCTGCACCACACATTGCAGAGAACATGAAGCTGATTATGTGCAATCTTTAGCATTACTACTGCATTGCACTGCAGCTGCCACAGTGAGCGTGGGTTCTTCATTTTTAATTATTATTATTATTTTTGGTTCCTTGCATCAGTTGCCTTTGGTTTGCTGATTGAGGGTCTACAGACAGATATATTACGGCATGATTTCTTAATGCCTCTTTAACTGCTCAACGAGACCTCGTGAAATCAAAGACATTAGCACTGCAGTAATGTTCTGTAAAGCTGCTTTAAAACAATGTGTGGTGAAAAACACTAAATAAAACCAACTCATTGTACCGTTACCAAAACGTGACGTGTAAACTCTGCTGATTGGCCGGAGAGAATCGTCACTACCTGCGCCACTGAACTTGTGACACAAACACAACAGAACCGTTTTAATAAAGTCTCCACACCATGTATGTGATCACGGCTTGTCCTCTTCTCACTCGGTAGCTGTGTGTGCAGCTTTTATACCCGAGCTGGTCCTGGCTCCTCCCCTATTGTTCATTTTCATTATTTTTTATTTTCAATACATCTTTTTTTTTTTTTGGTGTTATTCACCAACTTAACCAACATGCTATTTTATTTTATTTGTTCTCTTTTCCAACTTCTGACAGATTTTCTTGGCATTCTGATCCATCCCTTGTGGCCTTCATGAAAAACTTTTTACACTCTTCAAAGCTTGACCATTTTCGCCTGAGCACTGAAAGCACAGGTGAGCAGACACAGAAGGGTCATGGTTCATGCTCCTCTGCTTTAAATACACAGTTAAGCAGATAACATGACAGTCTTTCATACTTGCTAGAATGTTTTGCATTTTTATTCATATACACAGAAGCCTTTGTTAAACGTTACAGTGATATGTATCTTTTCTTGACTTATGTAAAAGACAAGTGAAACACTCAGTAATTTGTATGGACTGAAGTACATGTGACAAATATATATAAAATTACTAAAAATACAAACACTGGGAACCTTTAAAAAACTGTTGAAAACTTGCTGCATTAACCCTTTGATGCACAACATGGGTTTAAAAGTGACCCGACTGACTTTTTTTTTTTTTTCTATATCATTGCAAGAAATTCATTTCATCATTCGGTATTCCAGGAAATTTTTTGGGGGTTCTATCGTAACTTTACCAAGCAGCAAAAGGTATGGTGTTTTGATTAATTTGATTAGACACACTGAATATGGTTGAATATGGTTCAACTAACTGAGTTGTCTACAAGGCAGAGAGCTGAAACCATTGATTTGCGCACAAGTTCAAGATCATTTGCGATTCATAGATTTCACATCAGAAAGAGACGTGTACGTACGTTTTCAGTGCGTAAGCTCATTTTATGAATCACACGTACGCATATTTGAGAGATGATCGTAAGATCAATTTTAGGATGGTTTCTGGGCAACATTTTATAAATGAGGCCCCTGGAGGGCACTGTCCTGCAGAGTTTACCTCCATCATCCCTAATTAAGGGGCAGTCGCAGTACACTTTTCATTCCATTAACTTACATTTCATATGCAAATACGAGAGTGGAAACCATAGTTCAAGTTTGGTGCGCTCTAACCTGCAAATTCGTATGAAACCATGTGACCAGTAGAAGATTGATACATCAAGTAGCCAAATTAAAAGAACATAAGTCTAAACTTGTAACAGCTCTCTTATGGTCACATTAAGAATGATTCATACATCCAAGAGCAGAGCTAAGTAGAGCCCTGCACGGGCCTCAGATTTAGGCCCTAGCCTAGCTCTGGCCCAAGACTCTCAGGCCCTTACAATGCCCGTGTCCGACAGCTTATCAGAATTACCGGCCCGAGTCTGACCCCAGCCCACCTCCGTGAAGTTGGCACCCCATAAAAAGAAATAATCATCAAAATTATGCCATTCGTTTGTGCTACGTTTGTGCCGCAAAAACGAACATTTGTGCTGGTTTGGTGTTTGAGATGTTAAACATTAGTTTTTTGACCGTGTGACGTCACTCTCCACCCCATGTTGCCAAAATCGCTCCAAACCAGCGCAGTTCGTTTGTGCTCGATTTGTGCCCGTTTGTGCCGTTAAAACAAACACTGCATCTATTTTCCTTCCTTAGATATAACCTAAATATTTTCGGGAGCTGTGACGTCGCTCTCCACCCCAGTTCGTCTAAATCGCACGAAACTGGTGTCATTCGTTTCTGCTGGTTTGTGCCGTTAAAAGAAACCCTGTAACTATGACCGCTTCTTTTATATAATAAATATAAACTTTTTACGAACAGTGATGTCACTCTCTGTCCAAAATCCCTCCAGACCGGTGCCGTTCGTTTGTGCTCGATCTGTGCTGGTTTGTGCTGTTAAAAGAAACAATGTAACCATGACCTCTTCTTAAATATAACAGGACCTTTACTCTCCACCCCGTTTAGCGCGGCCACAGAGTTTTAAAAAATGAATAAATAGAAATTAGTGTTCGTGCTGCCTTAAAAATTTTAAGTTTACTCAAGTCTAAGTTTTCACTAACTTCATATTTCAAGTTCACTAAGCTTAAATTTCAAGGCAGCATGAAGTTGAAACGGTGAGACCGTCTTTTTTAAATATTGTTTTACAGCGAGTCTAAATTGTTCTAATTCATTTTTGCTCGAATTGTGTCGTTAGAATACTGAACATACCCCCCCTAGGAATAACAAATATATGCTAATTCAGGGAGCTCTCCGTCCATGCCAACGGCTCCGTTCGTTTGTGCTATAGATGCCGTTAAAATTAACATTCTATTTTTATTCTCCTCCGTAAAGCATTACAAATATCTGGAGGAACAGTGAGGGCACGCAAGCCGCTCGTCCAAATTCCTGTCTTCTATAGTTTGCACATCTGCTGGTTTACAAGGTTTTTCTCAATTTTATTGCCAG